CTTCTTTATTTTAAATATCCCAATTGAAAGCTTATTATTACTACCACTAAGGTTTTATGAGATCAGAAATCCCACATTTATATGTTTAGTTTGTTCTATAGTCAGTGTAATCTAAGGAAAACCACCTCTCACGGTTAGAACTGATGACTTGTGGTATCATAAAACATCTGTCCAGAAGCTGATATTTCAGAGATACTGCCCAGTAAAAGGTGTTCAGTATTGTTCAAAGCAGTTAGGGCATCAGTTTCTACATCTGACTTTTAAGAGGATCATGAAGTATAGTAGTTTTGTGGACCGAATTACAATTAAAAACTAAAAACTTTGCAGATAATAAATCTCTATACTGTGAGTTATTATTATTATAATTATTATTAGGGTACATGTGGGACAAGAGGCTACAGTGACTTTGCATGAGTTTCTACTCCTCCAGCTGGATGATCCCAGATGCATTAGAGGTTCAATGGATGTCTTGAACTATACTTGAGATGCTTTGGGTTCAAACAAAGAACATTTTGCCAAATCCTTCTTCCTTTAATTTTTAAACATGTGTATTTCAAGGGAAATTTGATTCATATGTTTCTGATTCATTTACACTTAAATCATCAAAATGTTATTTTGTAAGAGCTATTTGATGTCCAAGAAGCTTTCTGAACCTGTTTAATAAGTCCTCTTAAGTCCTTTTTCTTAAAACAGGAAGTTGCATTTTGCCAAGTACAAATAAACTCAAACATTAAAAAGGTTCAAGTTCAGGTTTTAACTCTGAATTTCAGTTTTAAGTGCATTCTCAATTTAGTAAAATAGATTTTCCAACCCCTACAAAAATATGGGCAAAGGAAAGATAGTAGTGATAAAAGTGGATAAAGGTATTCGTGAGCATTATTATTCTCAGAGATACTTCTCCAGTTGTGAAGGTTCACAAAATCTGTAACAGGTGTTCTTGAAGCCGTTAGATACAGGTGAATTGCAAACAGGGAACATCTGTCTTCATATGGACTCTCTATAATGGGCCTAAA